CAATAGCGCTCGCCACCGCATGGCTCCCCATGCGCTGGGGGCCCACCCTCCAGGAGCCAGCAGGCAGGAAGCTAGCCAGCCAGAAGGCTGGCGCTCCCCACCCGCAGCTCCCTGTGCGCTGGAAGAAGAGGAATATTTTTAAGGGTATTAATGGCAATATGTCCTTTACTGTAATAAATTTTTAAAAATTTAAACATTCACTATATTTTTCACTCATACCTGTACTTTTCATGACTTTAATTCTTTTAATGGGGGGGTGGTACTAGAGATTGAACCCAGAACCTTCACACTGAACAACATCACCAGCCCTTTTTTTACTTTAAGACAGGGTCTTAATAAATTGCAATGTTGTCCAGGCTGGGCTTAAACTTGTGATCTTCTTGCCTCAGCCTCCCAGAGTACAAGGATTACAGGCATGTGCCACCACATCCTGCTTCTTTTAAAATTATTGAGGTTAATCTAAAAAGGCTATTAAATACTCCTTTTTTCCAACTATGTGTCTATGTAAGATTGAATTTTTTTCATAAATTTGGCATAAATGGTGTTACAATTTGAATACAGAAGCACATAAGAGAATCTAGGTGTGCTCTATTAAGCCAGACATTAAAGAGATTTGTAAAAATGTAAAACAATTCCACTTTCTTGTCACATTTCCATCTTGCATTGGAAAATGTAAGTATTTTCATTTAAGTATGTTATTTATTCTTTAAAAATTTATTCTGCCTGGTAAGCGCAAGGCTGTGAGTTTGATCCCCGGTACCACAAAAAAAAAAGAAAAAAAATTATTTCAGGCTAATTTTATGTTAAAGAATATGTCCTCCTTTGACACATATTCCAGAACACCTAAGAATTTCCTCAGAGCTCCCTGTAAGATATATTTCTTGGGTCATTATTCTGAGAATATGATAGAAGCCACTGACATATTCCCCAGAACATGCAGTTCATATATAAACAAATTTGTAAAACATTTGGGTGCTAGATTAGGCAGTATGAAGAGAAAATGAAGAATGCCAATTTCTTCCTTTTACGCTTACAAAACTCTTGAATGAGTTTCAGAGGGAGGAAGATGGGAGCTCCAGAACCCCAGAGAAAGAGAGAAATTATGAGCCAGCCATTTATCCTGGCAAAATCCCTTTTATCAATTAATCTATATTAGTTACAGAGGTAGCTGTGGTCCAATAGGTGGCTAGTGAAAGCTACCAGATAGTTAACAAGGCAGTGAAAACCTAGTTAAGATCAGTAAGGTGAGGATACAGTCAGTGATTAGAATGGTGCTCAGGCAAGCAAATACTAAGTTGAGGTCAGACCCAAAAAGAAGGCTTATTATTGTCTCCTCATTCAGAGTGGGAACATCTGCTCTAAAATAGGGTCCTCAATACCCCCAAATTGTAGCAGGATGAAGACAATTTTAAACAAATGGGGGGAAAAAACTTAAAGATACCTCGCCCTCCACATGAGGCCTCTATTTGCTGGAAAGAGACTTGTAATGAAGGACCAGAGAGGAGACAAGACAAGGGCCCAGGTAGCTGTCCCCACAGTGACATTGGGACTGTGGTGAAGGAAGGGAAGAAGGCACCATCAGCCTGAGTCCCCAGTCCTTCCATGCTGTCCTGATCAAAAAAAGTTGTTATAAAAGCCTATGCCTGGCACCTCTAAGCTTGACTGCTTCTGGTTCAGCTACTTCCGCCAAACCTGACTCTTGCTTCCCTTGGTATAAGCTCTCTGAAATACATTTTTTGGCACTAGACATTGAACTCAGGGAGTACGAAGGTATATCCCTGGCCCTTTAAATTTTTTTTTTTTAAATCTTGAGACAGAGTCTTGCTAAGTTGTCCAGGTAGACTTGAACTTGTGATCTTCTGCCTCAACCTCCTGAGTCAATAAAGTATGTTTTGCTGAAAACTTTTACTAAAATCAAACATTTGTAAGGTTTTATTCTCCTCTTACCTTAGGCCCAGTGAGATAACTTTTGGTAAATGATTTTCTACATCTTTTGTAGTCTCTATATTTCTTGACTATGATTTCTCTAATTAAAGTGAGTCTGAGTTATAGATTAGGCTTATAAAAATTTAGCTCACTGATAGGAGTTTCTAATCTTGGGTGAATACACCAACATACAGTGAGTTCTGACCTCTCAATTGAAAACATCCACATTACCATAAACAATAGCACAGAACAGAGTTGCCATGGAGACCATTATGTTTCAGACCTAGAAGTGAATCACATCACTGGCCAAATTTCATTCACATTGTTGCATCCAGACTTTTCTTTTCTTTTTTTTTTTTTTTGGTCTTTCTGAGACAGGGTCTCACTATGCAGTTCAGGCTGGCCTTGAGCTCACTTTGTAGCCCAGGCTGGTCTCAAACTCACAAGGATCCTCCTACCTCAGCTTCCTGAGTGCTGGGATTACAGGCATGCACCACCATGCCCGGCTGCATCCAGACTTAAAAGAGGCTGAGAAATACAGATTACCTGTGTACCAGATTGGGAAAAGAAACACATACTGGTAATGCAATGCCAATGTTCCTCTCCATGTGAGTTTTTTAATGTAAAGTGATAGCTGACCTCTGGTGGAAGAATTTCCCACATCTATAGGGTTTCTTCATTGGATACACTTTCCATCACATCAAAGGCTCTTAATTGGGATAGGACGGTTTGACATAATCATTTTTAGTGTTTCTCTTCTCTATGTGTTCTTTGATGTGTGGCAGCGGTTTATAGCAGGTCTTCCAGCATTCATTAACTGCATAGGGTTTCTCCCAAGTGAATTATGTTTAATGAGGTATGAGCTATCACAGAAGGATTTCTACATCCATTCCATTGCTGACATGTCTCTCCTGATCCTCACTGAGGGGACACCAGAGTGCAAGATGGCAGTACTTTGGTTCAGGTTGTGAAGAGAAGGGGATCTTGGAAGCAGTGCACATCTCCTGATATCTGAACATAAATAACTTCTGTAACCAAGGTCAATACTGGTCAGTGTAAATAACTTATATAACTGAGGTCACTACTGGCACAGAGCCGTTATTGTGTATTTTATGTTGGCCTGCTTGAGGGCCCAAGACAGATTTTCACAGGTGAGGTCTCCAGGTTAAAGAATGCATGTATGCAAGACATCAGCAACAATAGCAGGCAGCATGCATCAGAACAGAGTGCAAGAGCCACCTGTGTCTTTACTGTATTTTTCTTATACATGTTGTTACCACCTATTTACATTCTTTCATGCCAGCCTCACTGGTACATGTGTAGTTGTCCACTGCTAAGTCATGGTTATATAATTGTGCACCATTGTGCACCTGTGCTGACAATGTGTTCATGTCCTCATAGCTGTCCAGAAATGTCTTTATATGCTCCAAGCTTTGACTCAATTTGAACAGTTCCCCACATTTGGTATAAGTGTAGACTGTCATGAGGGCTGGTGGGAGGACTAAGTGACTGAGGACTATGGCAAATGGTGGGCTAGGGGCCTGAGGACAGCCATGTGAGTGCATTTGACTGAGTGGCACCTGAGAATAAAGTCATGCTCAGACATTTTCACAACCATCTCATCTTCAGGCTGCTTGAATCTCAAGTGAACCTCTAGTCTGAACTGGTGACAAAACAATGCCTTTGGCAAAATATCTTCTTTACATTCACAGGGCTTCTCCTTGGTGTGAAATCTCTGATGTTGACCAGGCTGTGACTTAGGACAAAAAGCCTTCCCACACATTACATTCAAAGGCTTCTCTTCTTTGAGAATCCTCTGATGTCTCCTTAAGGTTGACTCCTCAGAGAAAATTTTCCTACATTCAACAATGCATAAGGTTTTTCCCTCTGTGATGTTTAGGAACCAACTTTCCACATTTACTGCATTTGTGTATTTTCTCCTGTGTGAAGCCTTTGATGCTGAGGAATGACTCCATATAGCACATTTTCCCACATTCTTACACACATAGGGTCTCTCCACTGTGTGTAACACCCTGGTGTGCCATGAGTTTTGACTCATAACCTAAGGATTTCTCACACTTATTACATTTATAGTGTTTTGTTTTGTTTTTTCCCTGTGTGTGGTATCTGATGCAGTCAGGTCTTTTGGGAGAAAGATTTTCCACATTCATTACACTTCAAAGGCTTCTCCCATGTGTGTTCCTTGATGTTGACAGAGTGCTGAGTTGTGGCTGGAAGGTTTTCTTACACTTAGAACATTTGTACAGTCTCACTCCTGTGTGAATTCTTTGATGTAAAGTGAAGGCTAGATGATGGTAAAAACATTTCCCATATTCATTGCATTCATTAAGGTTTATGTTCTCTGATGTGAAGTTAGATTTCAGGAAGGTTTTCTCATACATATTGTCCTGGTGGTATTTCCTTCTCTGGTGAATTCTATGGTATTTTTCTCAGAGGACTCATTTACCACACAGGCTTCCTCACATTCATTAAATCTGTAGGGATTCTCCTTGATTTTAATGTGTAATGAGCATAAGGTTTGACTCATCTCTGAAGGTTTTCTCACATTCGTCATAATCACAGAACTTTTATCTTGGGTGAGTTCCCTCATGTAAAAATAGCATTCTTTGGTCTCTGCCATGCATCCACTTGGAATACGAGATAAATGCTATTAATATATGTGACTATGGTTTCAGACTATCTGAGTAAAAGTACTACTGAATAAATATTTTCTATTCCCTTTACTTTTCTTTTTTTCTTAGAGATACTGGCTACCAAAGGAAAGATCTTTGTACTGAGCCACATCTCCAGCACTTTTACAATGTTTATCTTTCTAGCTGTAGTGGCACATGTTTGTAATTCCAGCACTCTGGGAGGCTGAGGGAGGATTGCAAGTTCAGGTCAGCCTGGAACTTAACGCTAAATAAAAATTTGTATAAAATTTTTCAAGTATAAAATTTAAGGGGGGGTACTGAGGAGGTAGCTCAAGGCAAAGGCCCTGGATTCAATTTCCATTATCACAAAAAATGAAATAAAATTTTTATCTTGGGACAAGGTCTAAGTTACTCCTGCCATCTCTAGAGAATTTTGTATCACATGTCAGCTTCCTATGTCTCGCTCCCGCTAATAGGTAAGTTCCACAAGATCAAGGGCTTTATTTGTTTTTCTTTTCTCTCTCAAGCTAATTTTATTTTTAAATTTTTATTGGTACATTTTTGGTATAAATAATGATCACATTTATTGTAGGTAATTTATACCTCCACATGATATAACTTGATTCTTTTTACCCCATTCCCTACCCTCCCTTCAATCCTTCTTCTCCTCATTTACAAAAACTTTGTTTCTAGTTTTTCCTTCTTTTCTCATTTTTTCTTTTCCCTTCTTTCCTCCCCTTATCCCTAGTTCCCCTTCCCATTTGAACATTTTCTTCCTATTTTACAGTATCTATTATACATTTTGGTCCTTATGTACACTTTTGGTTTCTTATACCAGAGAAACATATGTGTGATTTCTTTCACTTAAGAGTATGGTCTCAAGGTGCATCCATTTTCCTAGAAATGTCTCAAACATATCCCTTTTCTGACAAGAGTAGTGCTCCCTTGTATAAAAAACTATATCTTCTTTATCCATTCATCAGTTGATGGGCATTTGGGCTGTTTCCAATTTTTAGCTATTACAAACTGTGCTGCTATAAACATGGGTGTGCGTATATCACTGTGGTATGATGCTTTTAATTCTTTCTGGCAGATTCCAAGAAGAGGAGTAGCTGGGTCAAATGGAAGCTCTAGTCCTAGTTTTTTGAGGAATCCCCATACTGATTTCCACAGTGTTTGTGCCAGTCTACACTCCTACCAACACTGGAGAAAGGTCCCTTTTCCCACACAGTTCCTCTGGCATTTGTTATTGGCTGATTTTTTTGATAATAACCATTCTTTCTGGGGTGAGATGCAATTTCAGTGTTGTTGTAATTTGCATTTTTTTAATGATCAGTGATGTTGAACATTTTTTCATATATTTGCTATTTCTACTTCTTTGTCTGAAAAATGTTTATTCATTTCAGATGCCCATTTTTGGACTAGGTCTTTAAATTTGGGGTATATGATTTTTTTTTAGTTCTTTATATATTCTAGCTAGTAGTCCTTTGTCTGAGGAACAGCTGGTAAACATTTTTTACTACACTGTGGGTTCTCTCTTCACTCTGTTGGTTTCTCTTGCTGTGCAAGAGCTTTTTAATAAGATGAGATCCCTGTTGTTGATTTTTTGTGGTAGCTCCTCTGTGATTGGGGTTTTGTTCATAAAGTCTTTGCCCACACCAACATCTTCAAAAGTTCTACCTATTCTATCTTCCAGCAGATTTAATGTTTCTATTTTAATATTCAGATCTTTGACCCATTTTTATTTTAGTTTAATCCATCGTGAAAGATAAAGGTCTGGTTTTAATTTTCAGCATGTGGAAAGCCAGTTTTTCCAGCATCATTTATTAAAGAGGCTTCTTCCAGTGAATGTGTTTGGCACTTTTGTCAAAGATAAGGTGTCTAAGTATGTTCAGAATTGTTTCTGGATCTTCTAACCTATTCCATTGATACTAAGGTCCATTTTTTGTAAAAGCTTTAGTTTATTCACTGCTATATTTCTGTCACTTAGGACATGGCTGGCACTGAGAAAGAGATTAGTTAATAATGATTAAATGAATGAATAAGTGAATAACTTCCTGGAAGCAAAAGAAGTCTTGGCAATGAAGGGGAATGTAGGCAACCAAGAATGCTAAAGGGAAGAACACTAATGAAGGTCAAATATGTATTATGAGACAGGTAGGTATCAAATTCATGGTTCAAGTAATAGAAAAGGTTTTTTTAAGTCATGCAAAAAGAACACATGTGTGAGAGTGATGTCCAGTGGTGAATCTAGTTATCTGAGGCAGGCATGATAACAATCCTTAGTTATTTCCAAACAGATAGAGCCTCTAATTCTTGAAGAGAGTCTCAAAAAATGCCTTAAGGATGTCTAAACTCACAACCTGGGACCTAATTTCCCTGGGTTACCTGTGAAACAATGGTTTGCAAGTTCTTTGATATCCATGGTGTCTCCTGTTCCAACTTGAACAGTCCCTCAGATTTGAGAATACAAAGCCTTGCTAAGAAAAAATGCTACAGGACATAGAAAAAGTTTCCTAGTTTCAGGAGGAAATGCTGTAAGGAAAAAAGTAGGATCCAGCCTTAGTGCATAGTTGCACAATAAAGTGACTCACCAGACTATTTCCAGTGGCGGACAGAAGCAAACCATATTCCTGGTATCCAAACCTAAGAATCATTAAACTGTACAAAAGATCCATGTGTTGGTAACTAAGAAAGGAAGTGCTTGATGCTGTTCTTTAGAGAAGCTCTACTTTCTCAGTAAGACAAGAATGCTGTAATTCTCCAGCATCATGACCCTGTACAGGGTCCTTTGAGCAGGTTCCATTTTTCCTTACTCCTCCCAGGTGAAGTTAACAGTCACATCTCCAAATGAAATTGACTCTTGTAACAGTGCATATCTGATCAATCTGAAGTGTTCAGAACCACAGTAGATATCAGAGAAAAGGCAGTTAGGAAATAATTTTTTGCCAAGTTCACTGCTTGGTTTATCAGAACAAGTCTGTACAGGATGTTCACTATAGTCCCCTGCAGATATGAAAATATGCATGACTTTCTACTTTACAGCCTGGTATGGATGCAAACTAAGTTACTGAAAAGAATGAAGCTTGGGTTTTAATAATATAAAATGCTTTGATGTGTTCAGAAAACAAATTACTTGGTTATTTTGGGATTATCCCTTTAGATACATACCTTCCAAAGCATCTGATGATTCACCTACCAGGAGAAGCTCTGAAGCATCCACAAATTTGTGACAGCATGTAAGTATATATAAATGTGTATGTATAAAAAATGTGTAGGTATATACAAGTAATCCACACCTTGCATAATTCTGATATGCAGGAATTTCACTTACCAAGATTTTGCTAAGTTACACTGGTGCCCCCAACAATAGTGATAGCTAGCATGCTCAACACTTTGTGTTTAATCCCTAGCACACCCCCCAAAAATCCAGAGGATGTAATCAATCAAGAAAAACTGCAGGATAAGGCTTATAATGAGTCAAACATGGACATCTGAGGAAAAGGTAGGCTGAAAACCAACAGGAAGATGATATTGTGAAGCAACAGAACAAATCAGCAGCTTCAGTCAGCTGAGTTTATGCTTTGGTTTTCTGCCCTCTATCTCTACTAAATAAAAATTAGAGTGAAAAATTACAAGCAACACATTCAAGTTTGTTAACTGACGTTATCAACTACATCAATTTCATGAATACAAAGGCTGTTTTTCAGACTTCAGTCCAGGAAGTCTTTGTGTTTCATGCAGAATTAATTACTTGTTTATTCTTATGGTCAAATATTTTCTTTTTGCACAGGGTATCAGAGATAAATTTGCATAGTATCCTCATAATACAGTTATATAATGTGTGCTGTACTTGTACACTAAGATAAGCTGGATGTGGTGGTGGAGACCTGTAATCTCAGCAGTTGGGAGGCTGAGGTAGGAGGATCACCATGAGTTCCAGGCCTGCTTGAGTTACACAGTGAATTCAAGGCCAGCCTGAACTACATCGTGAGATCCTGTCTCAAAAAAAAAAAAACCCTCAAAATAAATAAGTAAATTAATGTACACTAATACAAAACTATAATTATGACTATTTTCATGATTGGTACATTCACTTTGCCCTGCTTTATACTTTTAACACTATAAATTCCTCAATAATCTTTACCCTTTTAATGTTATCAGTTTACACAATGGCAAACAATGTGAGAAATGAATAAACAACCCACCAGAGACTCTTTTTGTTGTTATTCTTGGAAAAGTATGGGAAATGTTGAGTGGATTGTTACAGGAGAAGAAAATAGAACCTGCAAGACCTGGCCTACTATGGCCCTGTGAGATTCAGCTTCTTATAAAACTCTGTCCATCGGCTGAATAAGTGTCCCCTCTAGGCAAAAGTGTCTTAGGTCCTTGAAACAGGACAACAAGAATTATGTTAAATGAGAATTCACATATGTGACCCAATAAGATCTTTTTTTTTCCCTAATAAGATCTTGACAGAATTTGGCTGTGCAATTAATCACTGGGTTCATTTCCTAATGATCAATTACATTTTTCTTCTACAACTAGAGCCAGTACAGAACTAATTCAACAATTACATTAGAAGACAAGTTGTTAGCTTTTGTTAACAGGAAAAATACTCAGGTTTATTTACACTAGTTCTGGGTTGCTTATGCTTAGAGGAATTACTCTGCAAAAAAAGCTTTGGAGTGCTTTGGAGAAATATCTATTTAAAACACTGGTTGTTCCCGGGGCTCCAAGAAGAACTCGACAACTGCATTCATCTGCTACCACTGTTAAAAGCCAGGCCACCTCAAGAGGAACTGCCCTAAGAGGCCCCATGGGCCATGCCCTG